TTGAAGTGAGTTCAAACTTCCGAATAAGTCATCAATATTTTTTCTAACTGAGTCTAAACATTTATTTTATGTTATTCAATCCTTTTTAAAGTTGTCAAAACTTTCCTGAAGTGATTCAACATATTCCAAATCCAATCTTTAAAGAATTGGTTTCGCATTTTCTGAAGTGAGGTAACATTAGCTGATTAATCCTTTTCCTAAATGAATCCAAGGTTTCCTGCATTAATTCAACTTTTTCCGAACTGAAACCAAACTAGTCAGAACGGGTTTGATATTTTCCTAAGTGAGCTCCAGATTTTTGTTAACTGCTTTGGCGTTTGGCAAGGACACAATCTTGCAATCTTTTCCGAAGTGAACCGACAATTTTTTGAGCTTAAATTTTCCAAATGGTCTCCAACCTTTTCTGAAGTGGTTCAAAACCTTCCTTAGGGAGTCCAAAATGTTCTGTTGAGTGATTGAATTATATTGAATGTTAGTCTGAGCTTTCCTGAAGTGATTAAACTAGCTCTTAACGTAGATTCCGCTCCCTTAGATCCCTTCCTCGTTTTTGTGAGATTCACACCCTTTGAAAATTAGGCTGAGATTTTAAAGAATGGACCTTCGTGTGTTCATACCTGATGGTAGATTTTTTTTTAAAGCAAGCACAATTGTTGAGAAAACTGGGTTTTCATCCACAAAAGTACGTACAAGTATTTTTATAGAAATTTGGGTTTCTTGATCAGCCACGTTGGATTTTGGCTCCGTCCTTTGAAAAACAACCTTGGATGTTATGGAATAGATCTTTGTGAGTTCATACGTGATGGTAGATTTTTTTTAAAGCTAGGTTGGATTTCAGTTCAATCTTTTGAAATTTGTGCTTGAATTTTATAGAATGGAACTTGCTGAATACCGGAAGAACGAACCTGGTTAATATTCACAAAAGAAGGTATTTTTATAGTTAATTAATTTTTCTGTTTTCCGAACTGAATTTTGGCTTCTATCTTTGAAAAATATGCTTGTATTTTAATAGAAGTTACTGATTCATATGTGAGGGTTGAATTTCTTCATTTTTTGAGAATATCAAGTTTAAATTCACAAAAGTACGTATTTTCATAAAAACTTTGATTTTCTGTTCTGCCAAGTTGAATTTCGGCTCCCATATTTGAAAATAGACTTGAATTTTATAGAATGGACTTTGCTGAATCCATACGTGATGGTAATTTTTTTGAAGCATGCACAATTTTTTAGATAACTGGGTTTGAATTCTCAAAAGCACGTATTTTTATAGAAATTTGGGTTTCTTGTTCAGCTAAGTTGAATTTCGGCTCCTTCCTTTGAAAAATAGGAATGGATTTTACCGAATTGCTGAATCCATCCGTATTTTCATAGAAATTTGGTTTTTCGGTTCTGCCAAATTGCATTTTGGCTCATATCTTTTAAAAATAGGCTTGTATTTTTTAAAATTGACCTTGCTGAATCCATACGTGAAGGTTGAACCGGGTTTGTAATTCGAAAAGGTTTTTTTTTTGTTTTCCTTTTCTGCTAAGTTGGATTTTGATACAGTCCTTTGAAAGTTATGCTTAGATTTTATAGAACTGACCATGCTGAATTCATATGTGATGATTATTTATTTAAGCACACCCAAATCCAGGTTTAAATTGACAAAACTACGTATTTTTGTTAAAATTTGGTTTTTATGTTCAGCCAAGATGGATTTTGGCTCCTTTCTTTGAATATTACGCTTGGATTTTGTTGAATAGACCTTCCTGAATCCATACGTCTAGTTAGATTTTTTGAAGCACGAACAATTGTTGAGAAAACTGAGTTATATTTGGATAAGGAAGAAGTATCGCAAACAGAACGTTTTTTTTTTCATAAGAACTGTTACGTTTGTGGTATTCCGCTTGATGGTTTATCCGGAATTTATCAATACCCAAAAATCAATTGCTTTGATCCTATTCATCTACATTATTACCAATGTTCTTCCTTGAAAGGATACAAAAACTTATGCGCGAAATGTCTTGTTGATAACTCGAGTGTTACACATAATAAAGTCAACATTTGTGGCATTAGTGTCAAAAATCACGGCTTCAAAGAAGTATAAGGCTAAAGCGGAGGCTAAGAAAAACTGTTAGCCTTTTAAATATACGGTTTAGATATAATGTAAAACGAATTTTAAATGTTTTATTTTTTTTTTTGTTTTATTTTTTATCTCCCCCCCCCCCCCCCCCCCTTCGACTGGTGCGAGCATCGAGTGACAAAAGAAAATCTGTGATTTGTTCCGGCCATAGAGAGATAATGTATAGAAGACGTAGTCATAGGTCAAAATAAAACCGCTTAGAAAACCTAAAGAAAAACATGTATTCTTATTTTGGCCAGCTTTTTGTTCTAGGTACTCCCATAGAGGTAACTCTAAGACCAGAAGGTCCCGAAGAAACATGTTCAACTTTTTGGCTCAGCTCTGGTACTATCTTCGGTCCCAAGCTAATCGATGCAGCCCTCGAAACATAGGAAAATCCACGAACCCCTCATTTTATCTGTCAAACATTCATAGCGAATCAAAACAAATATAGTGTAATACTAGAATTTCTACTAGAATGAGGCACGGCCGGCGCCGGTGGTGTAGTGGTAAGCGTGACTGCTTTCTCACACCCCAATTGGTCTGGGTTCAATCCCAGCCGAGGTCGGTGGGATTTTTCTGGGGCATAAAAATCTCTGGTCACGTCTTCCTTCGGAAGGGAAGTAAAGCCGTTGGTCCCGGCCCATGTGTGTTGAATGGGTGCGATATCCTACGCAGGTGTGGAAGCTGAATTCCTGCACATTCGATTGCCGTCAATGGATGGCAATCGATGTCCGTCGGTGATTGGCACTAGATTGTGGAACAGAGACCGACGTTAAATAAAGGAATGAAGAAGATGAAACATAGTGTAATACTAGAATTTCGACTAGAATGAGGCACGTTACTCGATTTGCTTGGGACCAATAGGTTAGTCAAGTAGTGAGCGAATTTTAAATCGTTAATTGCCATCGATTGATACCAGGAGACTGGCAACCCCATATCAATCCTTTACGTTTGACAGTAGGCATGAACACGGGCCTTATTTAATTACGGCCCTCCTGACGTATACATGAAGGACAGGGACGCAAAATCGTGTTGTTAGCAGCAAGACAAGAGCAGATGAAAGCATCAATAACATGGTCGCCAGCCAGGCCCCTGATTGATACTCCTCTGTGCGGCGTCCCGAAAAGGTTAAAACACTAAGGGCATCTTCAGCGGTGGTTTAAAATTTTGATTTGGTTCATCCGATCACCGTGAAACAAACTCTATCTCTGACACTACCGTCAATGCTGTTCCGTTGCTCTACTTCTGCCTTATGTGGTTGTAGTTAGGCATGGCATCCCATTGCAGCCTCAAAAGTCATCATGTGAGTCAAGGTCTGAGACGATACGCAGAAACGTTGTTTTCAGCATACGGTACCACTGGAAGAAATCTTTCTCATCCATCATATTTTGCATTTACAACCACCCATCACCCGTTGAAGGACGGCACGAAATTGTCTTTTAATAATGGGAGTTCTGTTCGGTTGCGAATCACGTACCGCGGATGGTTCGCATATATGTGCTGTTATTTTATTACCTATACGGACAAATTATATAATTTGAATCAAAAACAGAACACCGTAAGTATTAAGGCCAAATCGATCAAATTCATCACCGAGGCGACTCAGAGCATACCACTGAAGTTTCCTCGAAATATTGGCTCGAAAACGGTTGAAAACGGTTGGCTCACATTGCATCCGTTGGTGATCCGTTGCGGCAAATCTGTCAGTTAGACCTCCAGTTAGACAATAGATTTGGCTGCGACAGACGACCTTTAGTCACAGTGTTCCACTTTTACAATCAATTTGCACACATTTTTTAAAATTCTCATTTCACCGAACTCCTACTCAAGTATACAAATTTAAATTTACACTGAAGTTTTTCATTAATGTTCTGTCGAATTGTTAACTCAAAAATAGTGGTGAGAGTAAATCACCCGTTGACATTTGATTGCACACCAAAATGGAAGACCTCGTCGCTCAAATGGATTAAAGTGCTTTCGCTTAGCCATTTCCATAATCTTAGCGATAATATAATCTCGAGCACCCTACTCGATTAATCAATCAGTAGTGTTTAATGCGCAGTAATTACAGCGATAAAGACAGCATAATAATAATAATGATAATGACATACAATTTTCACACCTATCACTCACCTCTGCAGCTCTGAAACTCTTGAAGCCATCCTCCAACGATACGAAAGTGCTAGTATTACAAAAGCTCTCTGATGCCTTCTTGCCAACACGATATGATCCATATTTTTCCCATCACATTTCACAGGCTTTCCGACTCGAATCTATTGGAGGGAAGTCGTAAGTACCTGCCTGTATGGAAGCAGGCGAAGATAACCTTGTTTTTTTCTGTGTGTCGATGATTACTCCTAATTTGATCTACAAGACCGTGTGGCGACGGACGGCGCGCAGAGGAGAACCCAGCAGAAAGACCATTTTTTCCCCCTCGGAACCATGCAATAAATGAAGAGGAAAAATTTCGATTATTTAGAATTCGAAGCTACTACACTGCTGGAAGAAGGCTACTTTCGATTTCAGTTCCAATGTGCCGCCATAAAGACCGACCTGCCGCCAACCGCCGAGGGGTCTATAATTATCAATTTTGAATTGTTACTTTCGTTTCATTCACTGTTATTGGGTTGAGTTGGTACCGAGGGGCATGAAGTTGGAAGAAGACAACGTGCGATCATTTTCGAGTTGCTCGAAGGTGTGGGTCTCTCTCAGCGATTTCCACCTCCAGGGAATGGATCGAATGTTTTGAAAGTGGTTATCGTTTGAGTTGGAATTTTTTATTGCCAGATCAAGAACGAACCGATACACTGAAAAAATTACAATTTTCTGATACTTTGGGACCTGTAAATGAGCTTGACAAACTTACTAATTCAATTTATCTTCTCCATTCAATCAACAGACGAAATGAGGTGACCAGAGACCCTCACAAGAGAGCTCATCCAAACCACTCAAGAAAAACATACTCAAACTCCGAAATCTAACCTCAGCGGAAAGCAACGCAACGAACCAGAGCGCTTCAAAATGGGCAACTCCGGCAGCATGCACGGTTTGCCCGGGTACGATGAGGGATATCACCACCCGAGCTACCACCACCAGTACCAGAGGTACCATGAAATGATGCGAGCCAACGGCCATCATGGAGCTCCACCCGGTTGGCTAGAGTCCTACCAGCGGGACCTCCGGAACGGCGGAGGAGGAGGTCATCGCACCTTCGACAACCGACACAGTCATGACGGTGGCGGCGGCGGTGGACACCGGGAATCTACTAGCAGTGGTCCGAGTCTTCCACCTCCAATGAAAGTGCTTCCGGATATACCCGGTAGGGTGGCGAAACTCCGTCCGACCAACAACGGCAACATTCTTCACTCCGGTGGAACCATCAGCAAGAACAACAACCTGCAGCGATCGAAGAGCATATCGTCACCGACGTATCAACAGCACCAACAGCAAGCTTTCGACGAGTCGGAAGAAAGCGAAGTCATGACCATGCTTCCTCCGCGTTTGGCTATGACTCGTTCTCGGACGCAGATGCATATGATGACACCTGGAAGGCGAAACTTCGACGAATCAACTTCCAGGGGTCCAGGTCCCCGTGGATTCGCTAACAACCAGCGGAAACCGAGCTACGAACACGGAACGCTGAACAAGAAACGCTTTGGCTCGGAGCCGGATCTACGCATCTCCAAGAACAACAACGAAATGCAGGACGACTCCAGCGGCGGAAGCGGCGGCCAAGCTGGCCATCGGAACATCAAACCCGTTCAGTCTAAGATCATCAAGGGAAAGAACAAGAAGAAAGCTCCAGTACCACCGACTTTGGAAAAGGTTAGTTTTTTCAATTCATGAACCCTTATACAGTGTTAATCCTCGGTTTGTTTTCAGCGTGAACCGGAAGTCGTCGAGAAGCAACGCATCATCGCGTATTCTCCCCTGCGTAAAACCAACTCGGACGCCTCGTCCACGCAGCCATCCAGCGACAGCAACAGTAACAACCCAACCCGGAAGCTCCGGCTGTTCAAAACCCGTGCCGAAACCAAGAAGAACCTAAACATCACCAAACTCCCGGAAGCGTCCGATGCGAAGTACTCGGCCAAGGGCGGCCAACCGAACGGTCACAAACTACCCCTGTCACCGACCAACAGCAGTACCTACAAACTCACGGCTCGCAAGGATCCTGACTGTGACAGCGGCACCCTGGACAAGCCCAAATCCCGACTGAATCCAACGTCGTTTTTCCGACGGGAAAAGACCTTCGACATTGGTGTGCTCGAGCGGGACCGGGTGCTGCGTAGCGGTGGGGCCGCTAACCATGTGCCAGAAATCAAGCCGACCATGTCGCCACCGATTTCACGACGAAAATCCATCGTCAAGTCGCTGCTGGAGAAGGACCAGGCCGAACAGCAACAGCAGGAACAACGTCAGAAACAGAAGCAGTTGCAGCAGAGCCGTGTCACTGCGGTTGAGCCAAAGTTCAAACCGAAGATCCAGAACGAGAAACGGAAGCCACAACCGCAACCACAACCGGCACCGGTGACTCCAATGACCGACTTCCAGAAGGAGCTACAACTTGCCACCCGACGGAAAACCACAGTTGACGGTAGCAGCCCGAATCTTGCTCAACCTCAACAGAAACCAACCACGGTTGCTACCAATCAACGCAAGGCATCGGAGACCAAGCAAACCATCAAGGTAGAAGCACCACCCAAGAACAATCTGGTCATCTCGGTGGAACCCAAGCAGGCATCACCGGAGCGAGAGAAGGCATCCCTTAGTCCCGCACCGCCTCCACCTCCGTTGCCGAAGACGAGCTTCTACTTCGGAATGAGTGCAACACCACCCAAGGAGTCGCCCAATGATGAACCACGTATCTCTCCAACCCTCCTGGCCACGGCCAAAATGCTGGAAACCCGTGTCGATTCGGACGTTGATTCGTCCGATGACGAACCACTACCGATTGCGCGGAACGACTTCCAGAACGAACTGGATGAAGAAATGGACAAAACCCAACTGGACGCCATCGATCGTTTCGCGGCGAGCCTAATGAACGGCACCAAATTTGCATCCGGATCGGATTCGGCAGCTTCGTCCGACGTAGACGTTCGAACAAACGCCGGGGATATGGATTCTGACGCACATGAAATTTCGCTCAAGCTCCGACCGACCTTGCCGCGTAAACATTTCGAGATACCTCGGTTCAGTCCGGCAGCTGCTTGGCGACTGCTGACCACCGAGGACGACTTCGGACGGGACTCAACCGAGCTGTTCCCGTTTGTAGAGAAGAAAACAATGCTTCGCAGTCTGGAGGCAGTGGACGCGGCCGAAGACCGCATCGAACGAATCTACCGTGAACCGATTCCTGGGCTGCAGGATAACAAAAGTGGAGATAGCGGAATTTCCGGCGATGCAGGTCTTCCGGACCTAGGGGAGGCACAGATGCTGAATTCAAGCAAGGAACGAGATTCTCCGGAGAGTTCTCCGGTTGACGATGGTGGCAATAATGGGTGGTCTTCGAATGCACTACGGTTGACACCTTGGACCCCGCAGCAGGACTTGGAAGACGACGACGATACAACCGGAAGCAGCGACAATCGGCAGCTCATCGAGGAAACTCCAATCAGCAACGGTCCTAACGATTTCTCCAGCAAAGGACACATCTTCAGCTTGTCTCTACCTCGCGAGAGTCACCTGTCGATCTACACAGGAGCTGCCAACGGAGATAAGGTAAGTATGGGTCCCGGAGCTTTGCAGTCGACATTCACGGCACTTTCTTCACCTCAGGTCGAGAAGCAGATGTTCAATAGTCTGCAGAAGTTGCGTAAGTCGGTCTCGGACGTGTTCACGAGCGATCCGGATGTAAGCCCGCTGGAAAGCGGAGACAACTGGTTCTTGTCTCGGCTGGAGTCGCCATCGATTACGAACGCCTACGAGAAAAGGCAGCTTAGCCCAACCGCCCCTAAGCAAAGTCCACCGGAAGTGCCTCCGACCAGTGCCCAAAAGGACGAAACACAGTTCGGTATGCCGGCCAAACACAGCGCCATTGGATATCTGGTCAGCGGCAAACACATGATGTACCTTCCGAAGGAAGCTACCAAGGTCGTTACCATCAACGGCAGTGGCAAAAACGACCAAAACAATAACGTGCCAGAAACGCCTACCGTGAACTCGTCCTACGCTGGAAAGCGAAAGGAAACCAAGGAGAACATGCAGGATCCGATACCGGAGGGGGTGAGCTTCCCGGTGAAGATATCCACTCGCAAGAATCATCGCTTCACCTTCCAGAGTACGATTCGGCAGATTGAGAAGCGCCGCGTTGCGGAGAAATTGTCCCGGGAGGCGGAGGTTAAGGAAGCGTTGAGGTTAAGCGAGCTCGAGGCAATGCGTAGGGTGGAGGAGGAATTCCAAAAGAAGCGAGCACGCGAGAAGGCCTCCATCAGACATCAGCTGCGGTTGTTCACGATGGAGGAAACTGGGCAAGCGTACGACGGGAACGATGATGAAGAGGTATAGTGATCCATCGAAAGTTTATACTCAATCCAATATTTTCGTTAACAGCTTTTTTTTCTCATTTCAAGAATATCGAACTGAGCAAACGTGCTGAACCGGAAAGCGACGGTTTGGCACCGCATCAGTCCAAACCAAACGGGATGTATCGCAAGAAGGACTCCACGCTGGACAGACCATCGTTCCAAAATGGCGGCCAGGCACGGCGTTTGAGTTCGTCGCGTTTCCACGGAACGGCGGCCACGCTGGAGCGGAAATACTCCTCGGGCAGCGGAATTGCGAACTTTGATCGAGAAATGGAAGATGATTTCAACAGCGATGACAACGGAAACTACCATCACAATGGCAACAACCAAAATGGAAACAATAACGCTGATGTTGACGATGACGATGACGCGGATAGCAGCTTGGGGTACATCGACACCCGGACGCCGTACATCTCGCGCATCATCCAGGCCAAGAGCAGCAAAAGCTACTTGGGTGGTTTGAAGAAGTGATCGCGCGCAATCGCCTCACAGCAACTAGCGAACCGCCATCTAGTCATCGAAACGAAACGGAAGGATTGGTTGGAGAGATTTTAAACGAAACAAATGAAGCTCAAATGAAACCGGCATACTCACATAGTACGTTTGCACAGATGCAGCAATCGGAGGGGGCCCTGCAGGGCACCCATTCTTGCACAATGAATGAAAATAAGGTTGTATTTAAAATTTGCTCGACATAGTTTAGGGTAGCGGTGGTTCCGATTGGGCATATCCGTACTTATTTGATCGGGACACCGTTCTTTTTTTTTAATGCTGAAAATAATTATCCACAACGAGTACGATTCTTTTCCGATTAACATCAATCTGCATGTTATTTAGTGTGTAAGGACCACTAACACAAAACCGCGCATTAACAAGAAATGTTGAATAAATTTTTTCGATTCTTTTACTCAAAGGCATGAGAGTGTAAATGCGATGACACGTCCAGATCAGGAGCTTCAGGGATAGCTGGATTTAAGTACCTATGGAGGAATCTATTTTTTTTTTTCGTGGAATCTACATCAGTTACTGTGCCGATAATCAATGAGAAAATAGTGTTTTGCAATATTTAAACGATTAAATGCTTCTTAAACCTTGGAAAAATATCAACCAGTGGAAGCTAAAGGTTTTAAATTGGCTCACTACTTGACTAGGCTACTGTTCCAAATCGATTAACGTACCCCATTCTAGTCGAAATTCTAGTACTACACTATGTTTGGTTTTATTCGCTATGAAAGTTTGACAGATAAAATGAGGGGTTCGTGGATTAGCTTGGGACCGAAAAGAGTACCAGAGGTGACCCAAAAAGTTGAGCAAGTTTCTTCGGACCTTCTGGTCTTAGAGTTACTTCTATGGTATTACCAGGTAACTCTAAGACCAGAAGATGCCGAAGAAACGTGCTCAACTTTTTGGCTCAGCTCTGGTACTCTCTTCGGTCCCAAGCTAATCGATGCACCCCTTACTGCTCGCCCGCGCTGAAACTATTGTGAGAGGCTTTTATCTTTTACATTTTTGAGCCAGCTCTAAAAAAAATGTCTTCTTTAAAAATGTCTTATGCTTTATATTCTTTCGACTAATACTTCCATTTTCTCGCCTCTTTTGGCTACCAAGGGGTCGAAAAATAGCTGAGTAATTCCTGGAAATCGGGAAATAGTTTTATTCAGTGAACAAATAAATCCATCAAAATGTTAATTTTTCAACTTCCTGAAATTTCTCTAATCTTCCCTTCGAAGTTTCTTTCAACTTTCGCTAGGAATTTTCGTCCACATTACCCTGTAAGTTATTTTACAATTTCTTCCGTAAATCTATTTCGACTTCCCTTGGAAGCTTCTTCTGGCTTCCCTTGGAAGCTTCTTTCGCCTTCTCCCTTACCTTACCAATCACGTCTTGTTGTCCTCTGCTGTCCGTAGAGGTTGTCTCCACTCTACTCGATCCATGGCCACACGTCGATTCACCCCTCGAAACATAGGAAACACCAATAACCCCTCATTTTATCTGTCAAACTTTCATAGCGAATCAAAACAAACATTGCGTAGTACTAGAATTTCGACTAGAATGGGATACTTTAATCGTTTGCTTGGGACCAATAGGCTAGTCAAGTAGTGAGCCAATTTAAAATCGCTAGTTTCGTATTGATTGCTGCTCGTAGTCTGCGAAGGGTCCGCCTACTTCGTCTTATCCCGTCATTTTTTTTTAACTTCACAGGAACTTCAGGGATGCTTCCAGAGATTTATAGTAGTTACATTAGCTTCAGTTTAAAGATATGTAAGGGTATGTTCCGATAAATTAAAGACAGTTTCATTAACTGCTGTTCAAATTCGAGAAAACGGGAATTTCAGGAAAGTCCAGAGAACTCCAGTGAACTAAGGAAACATCTGAAATATGTTGGAAACTTCACAAGCCCAAAGAACTTCATAGAAATTAAATGGTTTTAAGGACACTTCCATTTATTTCAGGAGAATTGAGATAACTTTAGGGAAGCTCTGAGAACATCAGGACACATCCATTCATGAAAATTTCTGAACCTTTAAAAAGATACTCAGGGAATTTTTAAAAACTTCAGCAATGTTTCGAAAACTTTGTAATCTTCAAACTTCTGGAAAATTGCAAGAACTTTGAAGGAGTTCCAAGGAATCAAGTAATATTCCGAAGTGCATTTAAGGAATGTTCTGAAAACTTCAGAGAAATTGTGGGGTTTCAGGGATGTTTTATAAATATCAGAAATATTGCTGGATCATTTGAGCATGTAAGGAACTTCATGGAATGTTGCTAACATCGCCCAGAAATCTATGTCTTCCCGATTTTTCCCAACTTCTCCTTGAAGTAACTTGTGACTGTTCTGTAACCGCTCTGTCTTCCGCCTTTTACCAGAAGTTTCTTCCAATCTACCTTAGAAAGTTTCTCCCAGCGCCTCCAAAAGGTTTCTTCCATCATCTACAGGAAGTTCTCCCAGAAGTTTTTTTTTGTCTGCTATGTCAGGCTTAGACCATGGGTTAGTCCATCTTGCCTTTGGTTATCTTCAGTATTTTATGCTGATTCTTTGATTGTAGGTTGCCTTGCTGATCGATACGTTTGGTTCAGATGTTCATGTTGATATCTTTCAGAAATTGAGTTACACTCTCCAGCTCGTCTATGTTTTGGTCCATGAATATTTGAGAAAGCGGTTTCATGCTATCTAGCACTTGCGCCTTCGCCCTTGAGTGCTGCCACCTGATGCATTGGTACAGTATATGTTCCAAGTCTTCTACTTCGTCGCACAGATTACACATTTCGTCGTCCTCCCATTTCCATTTGAATTTCCTCTCTTTTGTCATCACATGGTTGGATCTTATACGACTGAGGGTGATTTTTTCCTCCGTTGTGAGATTTAACCCTTTACACCATGGTATCCTTAGGGGTTCTTTGACGAACTCAAAATGTTTAACTCCTTTGGTCAAAGAAATGTTTTGGTAGTTACTGGTCCACTTTTTCCTCCGTTGCCTTTTTTAGCTAATGCTAGGGTGTCGCCCAGCGTGAGTTTTTCTTCATTTGATGCTGTGTTGGAAGTCGCCTGTACTGCTAACCTATCTGCAAACTCATTACCCTGAATCCCTACGTGGCTGGGGATCCACTGAATGCTAACCGTTTTTTTCCGAATTCCTCTAATCGCTGTCTTATTACCAGGATATCTCTTACTATGTGGTTTGTTCTGCATTTTTCTTTGTTTTTCAGGGCCTCACATGCACTTTTCGAATCCGTGATGATGACCACTTCCTGATAGCCTTTGCTCTCGGCTATTGATATTGCTTCGCGAATTGCTATCAATTCCGCGTTCATTATGCTGGTGTTGACGTTGATCTTTACTGCTTTGTAGAGTTTGTCCGTCCAGTCTACTGCCGCGATCGCTGTCCCGTTGATATTCTTGGATGCATCCGTGAATATTTTCTTGACCTTGCCGTACGTTGTTTGCCGAAGCTCGTTTGCTGCTCCTCTCCATTGTTCTGGGCTGATATTGTCTTTTTTTGTTGTCCACTCCTGGTATCCCTGTCTTCACCCACGCTGATTTGTTTTCCAGCTGACGAATTATTTGCCGGACGTTCTCCGGATTGGTTGATAGCTGTTGGATAACCTCACTGTGCTCGCATGCCAGGTCTGAGATGAAGGAGCCGTTGCTGTTTTTGTTATTCAATGCCTCTGCTGCAAATTTCCTGTTGGGGTTCGCGTCGTGTGACGTCCTAATTGTTTCCTTCAGTGCTAACCATTCTAGTCTGTTTTCCATCGGTAATTGCCCACAGTCTGCCAACATTACATTTACCGGTGTGCTTTTTAGATATCTCATCGCTACTCTCATAAAGGAATTTTGTACAGTCTCTACTTTTTGCCTATTCGTTTTAGCCGCGTATTCTATTTTCGATCTTACTAATGCATTTCCAATTTTTAGCATCGTTTCTGGGTTAGCTGGACTCCTTTTTCCACTTATCATCTTGAGCATATTTATGCTCTTGCTTGCTTTGTTGGATACTGTCTCTATATGTTTTCTGTGAGTTAGTCCTCGATCTACCGTATAGCCCAAGTATCTGTGGGTGTTGGCAAGTTCGATTTTTTCTCCGCAAACTTTTATATTTATGTTTTCGTCCTTGATTTTGCTGAAATTGATCGCAGCGCATTTTGTAGGATTTACCGATAGGTTTAGTGTGGCTAGTTTTGTTGTTAGCTTTTGCAGGAATCTATTTGCTCTACCAATTATTTCCGGACCATCTCCTGAAACGAATACCGTGAAGTCATCTGCGAACTGGACTAATACCACTCCTTCCTCTTCAATTTAGTGAAGTTTAGCTGTATAGATGTTAAACAGCAACGGCGATAGTGGGCATCCTTGGGGGTGGCCGCTGTTTACTGTTATTGACACTGTGGCTTCTGGGGACAAAATATTAAGCTGTCGCTCCTTACATGATTTACACAGCTTATTGCCGAGTAGTTCTTACGAAAACCGAAGGAGAGCTCTGGAAATATGTTGTTATCCTCCGCGTATTTGTATAGTCGGTCGTTTACTATAGTGTTTATTGTCTTCAGGAGCACGTTCATTAGAACGATCCCTCGTTTTGCTGCTACATCACTTTTGTCCTTGTTTGGCTTTTGAATTAAAACTAGTTTGTTTTGTCTCCATCTTACCGGTATGTTGTTAGTTCTCCAGACTCGATCCAGCTGTGTGCAAACTTCCATTAGGATTTCCCATCTTAATCCTTTCAGGATGTGGTACGAGATGTAGTCCATGCCTGCCGCCGAGTGGTCCTTCTTGCTCTTGAGAACTCGCATGAATTCCGAGAACTGGAGTGGTGCTTCTACTTCCTCGTCCGTACTCAGTCCTAAGGTAAGTTTATGAGTGTTCAGTTCCGTCTTTTTTTGTTCGTAGTTCATCCCTATGAACTTCTCTGCAATCTCTTTAGACGGGTTCGTGTCCGCCCCTCTTTTGTTGCCTGTTAAAGCCGTATCTAGACCTCTGATGATGTTCCATATCTGTTTAGCCGGCGTCGATTCGTCGATTTTCTCCTTTAGTTCCGTGTCGTGCTTCCTTTTCTCCTTTCTTACTGTTCTCTTGAACACCGCCCTTGTCTTCTGCATTTTAAGTTGGTTTTCCAGCGTTTTGTTCCGGTTGTAGATTCTCAGTTGTTCCCTCTTTTCGTTGTACGCTGATTGTATGTCCTGGTTCCACCATCGCTTAAGATAATTCGCTTTCTTATTTGTTATGGTATAGCTGGCTTTTTTAATGTTTTCTTCGAAAACATCCTGCATTTCTTCAGGATTGTATAGAAATTGGGGTTGTATACTGTTTAGGAGCTCCATTGCCTTCTTTTTGTTCACCTTGGTTCGCTTTCCGGGCACTGTAGGTACGTCTAGTTGCAGGTCCATTCGAGGGGGGCGACACATCTAAATCTCAATTTTAGATGCTCAAAAAATCTCACACTAGCGAATCAATCTTCGAAAAATCTTCTTGCATTTCTCGCATATACTTGCATCGCGCATCATTTTGTTGCAGGAAATCTTCAGAATCATCATCAATCTTCTTTCTATCTACTCAGCTAGCCACAGCACAACACAATATTTCCTGCAGCGTAGATAGAGTCGTCCCCCTCGGGTCCATTACTATGCTCATGTGACAGCTTCCAAACTCCTCTTCTACTACTTCCCATTCCGTGATGCTCGCTATGTATCCAGAAGCCATCGAGAGATCGATCGCCGTTGGTTCTGCGTTTATGCGTGGGATCGTTGTTGGTCTTCCGTCGTTGAGCAGCACCATTTTCGATGCTACAACCTCTTCAGCTATCGCCTTGCCTTTTACGCATGGCTTTGCCCCGCTCTCCCATATTGGATGTCTGGCGTTGAAGTCACCAGTAAGGATGACTTCACCATCTAGACCTTCGATGAAATTAAAAATTTCTTTGATTTTTAGCACTTCGTTTTTAATTAGGCTCTGATCCGGTGGAATGTACACCGAAAGTATTGTGAAGTTGCCCTAATAAAAAATAACCATAAACGAACGATAACCCAAATCATTGAACTATTCCACAAATGGTTTGGATGATACCCAGAACACGTCGTTAAGCAAATTAACCATACAATTTTTATTAGGGTGGTGCTTATACTTTTTGTTTTTATGGCGACCGCTTCTATCGGGTCGAAGTTAGGGAGCTTCACTTCCTCGTATGTTACGTCATCTCTGATGAGAATGGCAACACCTCCGTATCCTTCTTCTCTGCATTTCTTGACGATGCTGAATCCTTTTATTCTATAGTTTTCCGTTGGCTTGATCCATATCTCCTGCAGGCTTGCAATGTGCACTTTTTCTCTATTCAGGAAGACCGCTAGTTCTTCTCGTGTTTCGGTGGGCCTTAATGATTGTACGTTGGATTGCATGATCTTGAAATTATCCATCATTATGTGTTAGGGGCTCTTCTGTTTCCTTGTTGGGCGATTCCGTACACTCCGCTAGATCTTCCATGAATTCTTGTATGATTTCGTTCAGTGTGGAACTTATCCTCATTAGTATTTCCTCCAGATTGACTTCCGAGGCTGCCTGTCCAACCACCTCCGCGTTGATTGCTGATTGCAGTCTCATCAGCTTTCTGACTAGATTCAGGTTTCTCCAGAAATGCTTCAGCTCCATCATCGTCCTTTCCAAAACTGTTGCTTTGTGTGGGTTTTCTGTGAACTGTCGTTGGTGTTGCTTTTCCTTTACTTTATCTGCGTAAGTTCCTTGTTTGTCGCCTGGCGTCGTTTTCTGTGGTGTTCTGCTGTTTTTTTCCACACGAACTTGTATTGACTGCTGTTTGCGTTTCTCTGCGAGCGACACTGCTCGTCTCGCTGCTCACCCATATCTGGAAATTCCTCGTCGAAATTCGACAGCAAGTCGAACTGATTAGCCTGTCTCCATTTCTCGTTTGCTTCCTTGTACGTCAATTTTTCCAACTGCATTCCCGCGTTGATTTGTACCTGTTTTTCTTTCTCTGGGCACTTGCTATCCGTCGGACTGTGCGGACCTCCGCAATTGATGCATGCTTTCTGCCTGCAGTTGTCGTCTTCGTGTTGAACGCCGCATTCCTTACATTTTGTTGTCCTCCAGCATTTTTCTCTCCGGTGTCCAAATCCCCAACAGTTTGAGCATTGCTTCACCGGGAACAGGTAGAGTTCAATCTTGAACCTGCATCCGTATAGCGACACGCTGTCTGGTAGTTGCTTTCCTCGGAAGATGATTTTGACGTTTTCCGTATCCGTTAGCTTCTTGTTCCTATCCATTTTCTTCATCCTTTCCACTTTGATGATTTCGCCCTCCGACAACAGATCTTCCATCAGTTCTTGCTCGCTGTAATCTCTCGGTATTCCTTTAGCCAAACCCACTGTCTGCCTGAGGATTATCGGGACGTAGCACTTGAGGTTTAGCTCCTCCATGTTAATCTCCATTAGTTTTTTGGCTTCCTGTGGTGCTCCGAACGATACCTTGAATCGAAACCTGCCAATCGCCGTGATATCGGTGTAGGTTTTGATTCCCTTACTGGATAGGGCTTTACCCACACTGACTGGGTGTCTGATGGTAGGTTTCTCGTAGTCCCATGGCTCCAGGTACACCGTGTCGTTTTGTTGGTTATCCTGCTGGTTGCTGCTGTTTCCTGGGTTTTTTCCGTGTTCTGTTGCTTTGGATGTTCCTCCTCCTTTCGATACCGTTGGACCTTGTCCTGTTTTGGCCTTCCCCGTTGCCGTCATTTTCACCTCCTTATTCTTGTACTGCTTCCTTGTTTCAATTTGCGATTTCGTGCTCATTTTCTTTCACTTGCATTCTTTGCGGATTGCTTTTTGATTTTTCTTTCGCTTTTATCTTCTACTTTTCTTCGTTTAATTGCTATATTCTCTTCACTTAAATCCTAATGCCACTTCACTTAATTTATATTTTTTCTTCTCTATGTATTTGTATGTATTATTGCCCCATGACACCTTACGGAATCAAACTCTTCACCGACACTTAACTTTTTCTAGGTTATAGCTAGTTTTTCTTCTTCTCTTTTAGAAACCACCGCAGCACTTTTGATAGGCCGGTTCGGCCATCCGGCCCTCCATCACACCGGAACCACTCGACCTCCTTGCAATCCGTTCCACTTAAACTTTCTGGTCGAAAATCAGCTGTTCACACACTTTTTCCAACCGGTGAACACTCGTGTTTATTTCAGTTACCATGGAGACGTAATTTGTGATTAGCCCCGGTCCCTTTCAAATTGTATCATTATTAATGAACGGCCTTATATTTGAAATGACGTTTCACATTCATCTAGTGATGTCCGATTTTCATTCCAATAATCGTTTAATCGATTAACGAACCGAAAAGTAAACTATTTATAATCGGTTAGATCATGCCGATATAAGCATTAACATCTCCACAGGATCATCACTGATCGTTTCAAACATGTGCTGCACTCTCATTCGTGGAAAAATGGCAGCACAGCGAACAAAAAATAATCGATTAGTTGTTAATCGAGTAATTAAAAAATGGGACATCTCTGATTTTGGTGTGATTGTTTTGATAAAAATGAGCGCAAAATTTCATCTATTCCGAGGGGGCAGCAAAACCACAAAATTACCTTGAATACGGGGGGTTCTCATTGGATGAAAGGGACTGTGAAAGAAGACACTAAAATAGAAAGTTTTTCTTCCGACAGTTTCATCTTAGTATTCATCTTTGCTTTTTCTGCCACTAAATCGATTTTTTTAACCAAACAAAATCAAAAAACGACCGCACGTGAAGGTTAATTTTCGAACTTGTGTCCCAGAAGTTTCTTTCATCCTCTGGAATTTTGTGTTTACTTCAAGTGACTTTTAATTTGAGCGACAGTCGTCTGCTTCAGCCGAGGCTTCAGCATCACGGTAAAATGAATACTTTTTAACCGTATCGGTAGTATCGCTATTCAATTAGGTTTTGCACCGTCGGGGTTAACCTCAATCTGATGACAGTTCAGTGGTACTGTTTACGTGGACTTAGTCGTTTTTTCTTGGGTAGATTTTCTCGATAATTTTTCAGACTGCAGCGAGATGTAAACCACACTTCTGCATTGTCCACGAGCAACATCCTTTCACCGCGCTATTTCTCGACAATTTTCAAGTTAAAATTCAGAAATTTTAGAATTTGTTTTTTCGAAAAAACGACTAAGGCTGTGAACCATTTGCCGAGTTAAATTTAACTCGTGGTTAAAAGTGACATTTCGAAAGTTATTTTCTATGTTCGAAAATCCCTGTGCTGTCGCTCGACCGGTTTTCGAGCCACGGTTGTCAAAATTTAACTTCTTGTCTGTCAGAAATAACCATGCTCGGATAGCAGGGTTAATCGATAACTTTCCATCTGTCAAATTTTAACCAAAAGTTAAAATAATTTGGTGGATTATTTTAACTTTTGGTTAAAATTTGACAGATGGAAAGTTATCGATTAACCCTGCTATCCGAGCATGGTTATTTCTGACAGACAAGAAGTTAAATTTTGACAACCGTGTCTCGAAAACCGGTCGATCGACAACACAGGGATTTTCGAACATAGAAAATAACTTTCGAAATGTCACTTTTAACCACGAGTTAAATTTAACTCGGCAAATGGTTCACAGCCTAAGTGCTTGTAAACAGTACCACTGAACTGTCAAAAAGGTTCAGCCTATTAACACTGAGTTCATTTGTGACGTCACGCTGCAGAACCTAATTAGGTACTGCAGCGTGACGTCACAAATGAACTCAGTGTTAATCGGCTGAACCTTTTTGACAGTTCAGTGGTACTGTTTACAAGCACTTAAAGTCGTTTTTTCGAAAAAAAATATTTTAAAATTTCCGAATTTTAACTTGAAAATTGTCGAGGAAATGCGTGGTGAAAGAATGTGGCTCATGGACATTGCAAAAGTGTGGTTTACATCGCACTGCAATCTGAAAAATTATCCAGAAAATCTACCCAAGAAAAAATTGACTAGGTCCACGTAAACAGTACCAGTGAGCTGTCATCAGATTGAGGTTGACCCCGACGGTGCAAAACCTAATGGAAGTATTTGAAGACTGAATTTTTGACAACTCTGAGTTAAACCAAATATACCACATTGAAGGGTATATTCTACAGAGCATTGCACAAAATTATTCAATCTGCGATTGTAGTTTCCTATCATGTATGATTGAAATCTCTCTTTTGAAGTCTTTCACAAATTTTACTATCTTGAAAAATTATACATACCGATCTTTGTAACAGAGCCTATGTAGATGTATTTCGTTGTCCTGGAGCAAATATTTCGTGAGAACATAACGAGAATTCAGCTGGTGACTAATAATATTCCCTGTCCAATTGACCACTTTGTCAAGCAGTTTTGGCATGACTTTCTACCAGCGATTTCACAAAACTGGACCAACTAATTTCTATTTTTTTTTATGAAACGCACAAATTTTGGCTGCTTTTCTCGAGGCTCTAAAAGAAAAAATCTCAAAATAATGTTTCATTTCAAAGTTCGAGTGGTAGTAAACGTCATTTTATCTGCTCGAATGAAGTGGTTAATTTCACGTTTCATTTTACGCAAATTTAATCATAATTATTTAAATCTCAACAGTTATCCAGCGTCTGGCTGAAAATCTCCTTAATAAAGACAACCAACCTCAACAATTAAATTCAACACCAATCTCAATCTGGGTACTGCGGAGTCGACCAATTTTATTTTGCAAGCCAATGGAAAACTGCTTGAAAATTTTCTCAAGTTTAAAACTGGTTTGCTCTTTCTCAGTCGATTCCCGCCAAAAGCTCTGAGCCAGGAGTGCTCGAGCCCCCATGACTCTAACAAAGTTTGTTTACATACATGTTTCGCCAAAGTATGTTTTACTGTAATTGAAAACTCAGCTGCCTCATAAAAACTATGCTGGTTTTTATACTTTCATCACTGAGCCTGTTGGTTTTTATCTTTGAGCTTAACATTAAGTATGTGTTATAACGGCGCCGGTGGTGTAGTGGTAAGCGTGATTACCTCTCACCCCAGCAGGCCTGGGTTCAATCCCAGTCGGCGCCGCCGGGATGTTCTGAGGCACGCCTTCCTTCGGATGGGAAGTAAAGCCGTTGGTCCCCGGTTCATGAGTTGATGGGTCGATAGGTAGGGTCCAGGTGTGGAAGCTGCCTTCCTGGCACGTCGGTAGCATTGGTGCTCAGCACGGAAAACAAGATCGACGGAAAAAAACAAACCAAAGGAAAAAAAAAGTATGTGTTATGAAAAAGTATAGATAATTTTTATGAGATTACAATGCTTGACGGTAGATAAGAACAGTAACTGCATTTGCTGCTTCTGAATGTTTGACTCCCGCTCACACTGGCTCCCAAGTGACAACCCTAATAAAAATGTTATGGTTAATTTGCTTAACGACGTGTTCTGGGTATCATCCAAACCATTTGTGGAATAGTTCCATCATTTGGGTTATCGTTCGTTTATGGTATTTTTTTATTAGGGAAGCACCTTGAGTGAGTTCGCAGTACTCAGATCTTAATACTTCCCACGCTTTTCTTCGTGAAGCGCTCGTGTTTATTTACATCGCTCGTTTCGAACCGCGTTTGACTATAGTCGCTATATTCATAGTCTGGCGGATAGAATCTCGGGAACCAATAAGGCTGTCCACGAGACAGTTGCGATCAGCTGACTTTTATGTTTACCAATAACTTTTGATAGATCACAGTAGAACTGACAGTTCTCGCGTCACTTTTCAAATAGACCAATGTAACAAATGTAAACAAATTGAGTTAAGCGTTACAAACTATTGCTCTTCTATCATTGTATGTGGTACAAAAACATCCATCCAAATTTACTTTCATTCATTTGAGATAATCATTGATTAAAAATTGTCCAATGTACAGTTTGAAATCAAGAGCAAATTTTCATTACGTCGAATGTAACAAAGGTAAACAAAGTCGAGCTATCAGTGTCAATCGATTCTCCTGCTATTACACTATATACTGTCCGAATATAGGATCAAATCCCATTTTTAAATTTATTTGCCAGTCAAATTGCTTTTTGACGTAATCACCTTCCGATCAAAATAGTTTTCGATGTTACTTAAGTCACCCAATTTCTATGGAGATGCCGTTTGACTTAAGTAACAGCGCTGAGAAACCCGTGAAAAGTGTACGTTCGTCGCTTCGCTTTCTCATTATTAAAGTGAATAAATCGAACTGTTTGTTGCTAAGATGATTTCGGTGATCCTAAAATGATGCATGGGCTGCACGTAAGGAGACGTAATTGATAATTCTCCTGAATATCCTGGTAAATACACTTTGACTTAAGTAACAATAGGGGCCACCAAACGACGTATAATAACTTTTGACTCAAAAACTAGTATTTTTTAGCATGAAAGCTAGTGATTTGCATTTGTATGATTAAAACCCTGCTAAATATGTTAAACATTGCTATCACTATGAGATTATATGCGTTTACTTGGAAATAGGAATAACTTTTCGGTCATCAAAACAAAACTTTATTTTTCTCGGATTGGTGCGAATGTTACTTACGACATAATGAAAATTTGCTCTTGAAATGATGGGTATATGATTGTTGCTTCGGTCATTCGGACTGCCTAACATGATTAGTGCTCATTTTCCAAAGGCGGGCCAATCTAAAGTTAGGTACTATACTCTGAAATCTGTGAAAGGGAATCTAGTATCATGTAGACAAAACGTCCAATGTAACACTGATTGATTATGTCATTGAGAAAAATCGTCCAATGTAACATGCCCGATGTACAACTCAACTTGTCAAAACGTCCTATGTGGTTTTTTC